CATTATAAGTTGGCCACCATATGGCCGGCTACAAGCCCAAATTGGCCATCTACTTTCTGGTTCCCCATTCTTCTCGACATCGGTCTCGCTGCACGCTTCGCACTACCGAGAGCTTTTTTATTTATTTTTTGGCCTGTAGTTACAGAATGATGGCCTGCTATTAAATGCATTTGTGAAACCCCTGGTAGATTTCATGCATTATAACATGTTGAGGGTTGTGTTTCCCTTGACTGGCATAACCCATTCATTAATTCAATAGAAATGCACATGAACAGGAAAAATGAAAGTGTTGTACACTTGAGTTGCAATCAAGTACTACACAGACACACAAACACGTAATACAGTGAATGATAAACAGGTTGTACAACACTAAAAAGATCTTTTCAGAAACATATTACACAAATTGTCTTGCATGTTTACCTCAAAGTCAATAATGAACTGCTGGGCACAACTCTTTGTGATTGGCCCTCATGCTGCTGCATTTGAAATGTAGCAGTGTGAGAGCCAATCAGCTGAGTCGTACTACACCTCTCAATAAAGTCAGAAAACTTTTGCTGATTAATGTCAAGAATGTTAATTTAGTTCAGTCAGTTATTTTTTATGGTTTGTATATACAAGCACACATGACTACATCATTAAAATTCAAACTACAATATTCAACAATTGAAGAACAATTAATTCTTCACGGTATCATATAAAAACGAGTTGAAAAAGATAAGACTTTTTTATCATTTTGTTTCTCACCAGAAAAGTTACTTACGGTAGTTGATTTTCAATGCTTATCATAAATTAAGAACTTTCAAAAAAGTGAAAGTTCTCAAGTGGTCTTAACACACATTTAAAGAAAAACATGTTTTGTAAGCATCGACCTAATTAGTTCTTTTTCAGTTTGTTGAAATATAATAACATGAAAAACACAGATAGCAATAGACTTAGCCAAAAAAAAAAATGTCCAATATATTTTGGTTCCCATCTGCAATATTACAAACCTGACATTTATATCTTGTACACCACAATTTATGAGCGTTTGACGAATAATTATATATAATTGTTTCTAAAACTTTTTCCAAATGATCCTCACACCCCCCTTTATTCAAATCAACAGATGATCCTTCAATTGGCTGTAAAACGCATGGTGATTGGTCTAGTGGTTTCTAATCATTTGAATTTTATAAATATTTATAAATATTTTATACAAAACAAATTTTTATCTTTATGAAACCTAGTGTATGTAGGACAGATAATATTGTAGATAAATCACAACTCCTGTACTTTATATATAAAGACAGACTATACTAAAAACGTATCACATTAAGGTACAAAATAGTACTTATTGTTTTTTTCATCATTAGAAATCATTTTAAGTGAGCTGCACGAATAATTTACAGTGGTTTCTTCATTAGGTTATTTAGTTGTAACATAAACAAAAATTTTATTTTTTACATGTTTAATATTTAAATTAAATTACAAATATTCTACATTTGACTTAACATTTTCAAATGTATAAAGTATGAATTAGTTATGGCACATATTTGTGTTAACATCAATATATTTAGAGATGGTGGTACTATTGACAATATGGTATTTTCTTCGATCACCCAATGATAACTAAACAAAAATCTAATTAATTATAAATTAACGTGTTTGTATTCACAACCGATAAACTAGGACGGTTCTCCATATTTATCGCATACAATGCGTGTTTTCTAGCAGATGTCGTCGTTGTGTGTTGCCGGCCCGGGTCCTGTCTAAAATTGTTCTTCAATGGAGTTCATGCATGGTCGGCTCAAAAGAGCCCTCCTTCTTTAGTGCTCTGTGTACCGAAGAATGATGTGTTTATCACCAAATACGGAGCAAGTTCAATGAGACATGCAAATGCAATGCGCTGCGCTCTCCATGAAACCGTACCCAGCTTCTAACAAAACACTAAAAACATCGCAAGCCAAAATATTGATTCATTTTATTTCGAGAACTGCTCTTGTGGTATTTACGCAGGGATGTTTAATGCGCGATCGATTGCAAAAATTGAATAAATAAAAAATAAAGTAAAAATATTCGCTAAAAAATATTTCACCATTTCATGATCGATGAGGCGTCGGGTGTGAACGAGTGAGTGTAAACACGCCAACGCGCTCCGTGGTTTTCGTTCTTTTTAACTCGTGTATTCGTATTTTAGAAGAGTCGAGATGTGATAAGCATAACTTGAGGTGTCAACTAGTACGTAAACAAAACAAATAACATAGAAATAGCTTTTGTAGTGTCTGTAAAAAGAAAGCGCCGCCAAATAAAAACAAACTGGGGCATTTCCCATTCTAAACTGGTATGCGCCTGCTTGCATGTATGTGAATACTATTGTACTGAAAAAACTTGGTTTTGCCGCATGTTTTGTGTCGTTTTTAGGCGCACTTCTTGGTCCCACTTCCATATATTTACCTTCAATTTTTTCAGATATCCCTGCAATTTGATGTCCTTCTCCGTAACCATCGTATCATGTTGCTGTTGTATGTCATGCTGCTCTTCTTCCCTATGTGCCGTCTTCGCTCGCTCTATTTGTGGAGATGACATGGCGGGCATGAAATTCCCCACACAACGGTATTCGGACTGTTATTTCACATAAAATCGCTGCGATTTTCACATGTACGTTCAACGTTGATTATGAATGAACTGCGAAGCAAGAATAACTACCCACTACTACATTTTAGTTTCAATGTATTGGGGGAAGTGGTATACAGCGTTTGTTGTTGTTGTTCCGTGCAGCAGAACAGGTTCGATCTATGGCCAATGTTCCCGGCTCCTCTTTCGGTCTGGTGTGCTGTTTCACCCAAACAACACGATTTAAAACTCTGGCACAAGCAGTCGTCAAACACCACCAATACTTTGCGGGAAAACGCACTCACTAATCGCTGATTTAGATTAAATCAATCGAATCGTGAATGAAAACAACGTACAACTGCTCGTCTATTCACGGGTATAAACAGTGTATTCGGTCTCCGTGTATTTGACCTACAACCTTTTGACGAAGATCGGCACGGAAACCCGGCTCCAAAGCTCCGACAAGCGTACCCCTCGGATAATAACGTCTTTTGGCCTTTCTGAGGTATTTTTTAGGACGATCGATTCCGTCTACCCGTGTGATAGCACTACGAAAATCCTCTAGATATTAATGTAAGTTCACAGCCAGCTCAGTTAGGTCACGTGGGGCGTGGTTTCGCATACAACATGAAACAAACAAGTTGTACGCATGTGCAGTTCTGTACTTTAAATCATCACCCATCATCTATCATCTATATGTATCTACTATTTGGGAGCGCCGACGGACGTGAGGAGTATGAGGATCAAGACGATTTACGAGACGCGGAAACAAAATTGATGTTTTTATCTCGAATACAGGAAAGAAGTGTCATGAACAATATAATCGTTCAAAGCACAATGAATACACACGTGCTCATTCCACTACTAATACATTTACAGAAAACGTTTTTTTTTGTGTGTTTTTTGTTTTTTTCTGATTTAATTTGTAGATTGAAACCGAGATGGAATGATATGTATCACGCCGAATTAGTACAGGTGGCATCAATTAAAACAAAAATATCTACACCCCACTTCAGAAACTAATTCACCATCATGATAGCAATAGGATATTTGGAGCACGGTCAAATGTGGGATTCTCTCATACGGGCTGACTGGTACAATGTTATCCAATTTATATATTTGGTTCTGGTTACGCTGGCCTTGACCTTGTCTAAATATTTATAATGGAATTCTATCTATTTTTCTTTTCTAATACGCCGAGTCTTGATGTGCCGACCTGCACCCTGTCTTTGGGAAAAACACCCAATACAACAATACGACAGAAAGAAGGTTGGTCAATCAGAAATATAATCATCGATTTTTTGTTTCAGTGGAATATATGGAAGTGTGCTATTGACGTAAACACGGGGTGGATGAACTGTTATGTAACCATACACGTTACACGCCAAAAGTGTGTCGACTTGTTACTGTCACTGACTAAAGGCATTATTGGAACTAGTTCAAAAAAAAAAAAAAAAAAACTTATATCACTAATTCCCACTACCACTAATTTAACTACCATTTATGTCAGTTACTACACACACAAATGATTTAATATTTTAGTTACTATTATGTTTGTTTCCTGGTGGATCCTGATGGAGCTGGATTATGATTTAATGATCGATACTAAATTCAAAGATCGTTGGAGGTTTCACGTCTTCAGTCTGAATTGAGTTGAGAACAAAGGTTCGTTTACTTGTGTGAAATTGGAGTTGCTAATTTTGCTACCCCCACTGACCCACAACAGTTGAACTCTCCGCGTGCCGCTATTTTCGGCAATGTCAAACACACAGGAACCGTCGATCGGTCTAACACATAGTCTTACTGAAATATTAAATAAATAAATATAAATAGTAAACACGAGGAGCCAATTTCTGACGCGTTTATGATATTCGTCAAATTCAGATATTTTCTCTTTATTCAAAACGTATTTAGTGTTTTTCAACTGAGATCATCTGTGGGCTGTCATATTTTGTGTACATCGTGTACACCGTGATGCGACAGGCCATGCTCAAATATACCTATGCATAGCACGCTGGCGACATAAAACTGACTGTGAGGCATTTTCGAACCAAACTTTTGAATTGTATCTTAGTTCAAAGATGCCGTCATTGTATGTATCGTATCGACTACAGATCGATCGATCAGACATGGTTCTGACTTGTTATAATTGGAGATACGTTGTTTCTTTTCGAGAAAGCGTCATGATATGGGATCTGTGATATCACCATATTTATAGAAGATAGTCTGGGTTTACAAAACTCTACAATTAACCCCTGAAGAAGAAATTAACACGAGCATAAAATAAATTTGAATTTTACAAATACAAGTTTCGCAGCATTTGTATGCAGCCTGCTTTCCAGTATACCAGTTATCATAAAACGTGTGATTGAATCGCCCCCTATAATCAAATCAAAGACCTTCAAATAAACGCACGTGATCTAAGCAAACGATTCATATAATGCGATTCTTTATTGTCAATCAAAGCACACAAAAGGGGTCGAAAGAAGACCGTTAGGTTTCTTTTGTCGTTTGTTTTATTATTTGTATTTATTGAATAACAGTAAAGAACACTGAAAAGGAATAACAACAACGCAAGGACGACTAAGTCGTATATTCCGATTCTATTATTATAGGTGGCGTATGTACTAGAAACGGATGTTGATTGTAAATTAGATTTCCCGATTGTAGTTGTGAATGATGGGGCGCGGAACAAACAATAATATGGTAGTTCAGAAAAGATATGTGCTTAGGCGTAAGACGCGAAATACCGAGGAGTGTCATGTACAACATGATCTCATGTCCTGCTGTTGCCGAAACCATAGACTCTTTTCAGGTATATGACGATGCCGTAAAAATAATAATAATCATCTTTATTGTTATCATATCCTCTATGGGACTTCGATTATAAAATACAATAAAGGTATAGAAATGAGAAAATTAAATAAAATTTAAAATAGTATATAACACAGTTAATAATACAATACTTTTTTCAAGTCAGTTAGCAAAAGTGTGTAAATTCAAATGTGGTACGTGATTCCATCGTCTCTTCACTGACACGTGATAAAGTCAGGGGATACGAACAAGCCTTTAAATATAGACCAATTTGAAAACAGTCGAAATCTCGCACGTTCTCACGAGATCACCATATTTATTGGTCAGAAAACATCGAAGTTTGGTTATAAGTATCCTTTTATTTGTGACATTCGTTATGGGCATGCGAGTACTATTTTTCATATTGTTTACTTCTTTTTGTTTGTTTTTTTCTTCTCCGAGCATCCGGAATGAAATCATTTGGCAGGTGCTACCATTTAAACTGTTTGGGATTGACTACGTGTTAAGATTAATTTCAGATGCATGAAAATCTCTGTGTACGGCTCGACAGAAACAAAAACGACGGACCATCTGAAGTAAAAGCGAAACCACAGATAGAGGGGTTGTGGCGAACCCATGCATCACTGAAGTACGGTACAGTTTCACCATTTACAAGACTACTCAGTTATATCAATATGAATAAACAGAAATTATGAAAAGCCTTTTCTTACTAGTCTGTGTTTCGCGCTCAAGTTGGTTTGTGTGAGTCTTGGATATTCCACCCTGAAGTTGGCGTTCAAGTTCACCCCGGTGAATATAGCATATTATTCGCTGTTCAATTAAATACGTACTTGAATTGTGAATTATTCAATCCTACCATTAGTAAGATGTAAGACGGACTGCATCCGCGCTCGTTGGTCACGTGGCAAAGAGGGAATCATGAATGAATGTAATGTAGTTACTTTTACTAATAAGAATTAAGAAATACTGGCTTTCCCATTGATGAAGTCAAAGACTTGGATATCATACTATCTCGAAATCCCAAATCCAGTATGCACATTGGTTAACACATTCATTAAATTGCTAGATCTCTTAAATCATAGACCTTAAAAAAAACATCTCTAAGGTCTATGCCTAAATCGTATATATTTTCTATTTTGATGATGTTTTTGATGAGTAACAGTGTCAACTGGCGTAAACGTGATAACCAAATACATATGAAGAATTTACTCAAACTTACTGTATGGGGGCAGCCATCTTGAATACGGCTCAAAACTGACATGTCTCTTTATTTAGTTTCAAACTGTATTCAAGATGGCTGCCGCATAATATTTTATTTCACTAGTATTTTTTCTTGAGTATGTTATTAGTGATATTAGTTATTCATATTTTTGTGTTGTTTGGTTGTCTCAGATGTTCCTTGATTTTTTTTTGTCTATTGGAACAAAAATAATTTTTCGACTAAAATAAACAAAAATGTTGTACTGAATCGTACACAATTGAATAAAACTAGAACCAGACCCCCATAACAACAACGTCTACGTCTATCTTTGTGGGCACACACCAGTCTTGATCTACTAGTGGACATCTCACTATAATAATAATATAGAACTCCGATGGTCCCAGTTATTGCTCATTGTTTTATTCTGGTATTCTGTGTCTTCCAGGGGTAGTACCATCAGGTGAATTCACGAATCATTTGTCTCCGTGAATGTTTAGAAACGACACTTTGACTTACCGTGCATTAAATCGAAAGACACGAGAGAAAACGCATTTTTTGAATTATTTTTAAACATAAGATATATTTAACAATACTTGCATTTATTATTTGTTGTTATATAAATAAATTAGGTGCACGAAAAAAGTAAACACGAAATGAAAACACGTTTCTAGTATAATTCACCTAGTACGCGGTGGTACGCGGCACGCTGAGTGGTTCATTTAAATTGGGCTTTAGAGACAACCATGCTGAAAACCGCAACCTTGACACTGGTTGTACTACGCTTGGCACGTGTTTAGAGAAAAGCTAAGTGGCCTTCGGCACAACGCGTGTGTGCGACAGGGGAGACGTGTCGTACGTGCACATATCAGCATGAAATTAGCGGGCTAAATACCGGCATGGCTTATACACGACCAGCCATGCGCACATAACGCAATACAAACACACACACACGCAACAAATACATAGTAATAATGCTTTGTTATTGGTATTTTTGAGAAAACATATATAGAATATTCGGGACATATAATAATATATCAATTCAAATATGTATAAATATCTTGTCAACTTTTTACAATTCAAGGCGACGCAACCGAACGGACAGGCGAAGGGCTGCGTGACGTCACGTAGGGTGGGATGTACGGTTGAGTTGGCACTAATTGAAGACAAAGCTAATAGGACTCATCTATACAGATGATATTAAATAACTTGTCTTAAATATGTATGCCCGCGTTTAATGAGAAAAACGGTTAGGAATTTTGTAAAATACTAACAAAATGATCAATATATGTGCATTAGAAATAATTTAATAGTCAGCAAAGTAATTGGCACGTGGTTATGTCGCTGGCACGTGGTTATGTCACTGGCACGTGGTTATGTCGCTGGTACA